TGTAGAGAAAGTTCCCTTGAATGAACCTGCCGATTGGGTAAGCAGCCTTGTTTGTGTTGATAAACCGGATGGGTCTATTCGTGTATGCTTAGATCCTAAAGATCTTAATGTTGCCATTAAAAGAGAACACTACCCTTTGCCAGTGGTAGATGACATCACAACTAGTTGTTCAGGAGCCACACTATTCTCAACTTTGGATGCAGAAAAAGCATTCTACCAGATCCAGTTAGACGAGGAGAGTAGCAAGCTCCTGACATTTAATACCCCCTTCGGAAGGTATAGATACCTGAGGATGCCGATGGGGATTAAGTCTGCTCCAGAAGTTTACCAACAAAGAATGGAGCAAGTCTTTGAAGGACTGCCGGGTGTGAAAGTCATCATGGATGACATAATCATACATGGTCGAACTGGGCCGGAACATGATACACGGTTGAGGGCTGTTCTGCAGCGTGCCAAAGATAACAATCTCAGATTGAAGAAGTCAAAGTGCCACATACAACAGGAAGAGGTGAAGTTCCATGGCCACTTGTTCTCCCATGACGGTTTGAAGACAGACCCAGAGAAGGTCAGAGCCATAGTTGAGATGCCAAGGCCAACAGACAAATCTGGTGTACAAAGATTGTTGGGGATGATCAACTATGTCAGTAAATTCATCCCCAACATGTCTGACCTTACTGCACCATTAAGACAGTTACTACACCAAGATGTTGAGTGGCACTGGGAAGAGCAGCAGGAAGCTAGTTTTAAAGCAATCAAGGAATCGCTTGTCTGCGCCCCTATTTTAGGATATTATGATGCAAAGAAATCCCTGACGCTACAAGTTGATGCCAGTTCAACTGGACTGGGTGCAGCATTGATTCAGGAAGACCGACCAATAGCTTATGCCTCAAAGGCACTCACGCCCACTCAAGAAAGGTATGCCCAAATTGAAAAGGAACTTTTGGCAGTAGTATTTGGCTGTGCCAAATTTGCAGAGTACATCGTGGGTCGTGATGTCACCGTTGAATCAGATCATAAACCTTTGGAGGCAATTATGAAGAAGCCCTTACACGTAGCACCCTTACGGCTGCAACGGATGTTGGTCCAACTCCAGCGCTTTCCAGGAATCAATGTGGTATACAAGCGTGGAGACAGCTTACATTTAGCGGATGCTTTGTCTCGAGCCCATTTGGAAGAACAGCTGACGAATGCTGAGCAATTGGACATAAACTTAGTAGAGGATGTTATCTCTGACCACCAGTTGGCCCGTTTCGCTGAGGCAACTAAGGAAGATGCGATTTTGTCTGACCTGCAACAAGTTATTTTGTCAGGTTGGCCAGATTCCAAAGGTCAAGTCCCACCCAATGCACAGGAGTTTTGGAATTACCGTGATGAATTAACAGTAGCCCAGGGACTGATCGTTAAGGGACAAAAGATTGTTGTACCAAGTAGCTTGAGAGGAGAGATGCTTGAGAAACTGCATGAGGGACACCTGGGTATCAACAAGACAATAGCGAGAGCGCGGGACGTATTGTTCTGGCCCAGGATGAGTGTGGAGATAACCGAGAAGATTAAAAACTGTCCTGTATGTCTAGAAAATCGACCAAGTCAGCAGCCTGAACCATTGAAGTCGCACGAGATTCCACCACTGCCTTGGGCTAAGGTTGGCACAGATATTCTGCACAAGAATGGTCGGAACTACCTCGTTACTGTCGATTATTACTCCAAGTGGCCAGAAATGACTTTACTCCCGTCAATGACAAGCACCGGAGTAATTACAGCTCTTAAATCCCAGTTTGCGAGATATGGAGTCCCTTCAGTTGTCGTTTCTGACAATGGCCCCTGTTACAGCTCTGCAGAATTTAGGAAGTTTTCAGAAGACTGGGGTTTTGAACACATCACTTCAAGTCCTGGCTACCCACAATCCAATGGCCAGTCAGAGAGAACCGTCAAGACCGTTAAAGCAATGCTGGAGAAAGCTGGTGACCCATACAAAGCTCTCCTTTCTTACCGAAATACACCCCTGGAGGAAGTTAATCTGTCACCCTCACAAATGCTAATGGGAAGACGTTTGCGAACCTCAATTCCAGTGACTGAGGATTTGTTGAAACCTCAACTCTATGACCCTGAAGATGTCCTCCCTAAGTTAAAAGAAAGGCAGAGAAAGCAGAAGCTGCAGCATGACAGAAAAGCAAAGGAACTGCCCCCTTTGAGGGATGGTGAGGTTGTAAGAGTTAGAGAAGGCAACAAGTGGAAACCTGCTAGAGTTACACAGGTTCTTCCTTCACCTAGATCTTATAAGGTTGAAACAGAGCGTGGAGAGTACCGAAGAAACCGTCGACATTTATTAAGAACTGAAGAGTCTCAGATCCCAGAAATCACCCCTACACCGGAAGTCTCGAATGATGAGGACCTGACAGACACGGAAGTTGAGCCATCCTCTGTTAGAGTGGCCCACGAGAATCCTGTAACACCGCCAACCGGAATGTCTACGGCTACTACCACGCGGTCTGGTCGGACAATTAAGGAACCTCAGAGATTTAAGGACTATGTTAAGTATTAGATACAAAGCAGACACTTTACAGCTTTTCAGTTAAGCTTTCTGTTTCCAGTTTTCAGGAAAGGACACATTGCTCTTGTTGCAGCATTGTCTCATGTTTCTTTTTTTTTTTTTTTTCTTTTATTGTTACGGTTTGTTTGTTAAATTCAGTAATTTCAGCTCTCTTTGTTTCTTAAAAAAAAGGGGGATGTAGCATCAGGTCAGCGGTTATATTTAGCGCATGCCTACTGGAATAAAGTGTGTTCATTTGCATCCGCCATTTTGAGTGTATGTTGTGTCTTCTCGGAGAACACTTCACCTGCCACGGTTTTCTTCAAGTTTCCATCAAGATCTGAATGCTAGAAGACTGAGCGTATTCAACTTAGTTAACTTACCAAGCCAGTATGGTGATATACGTCCAAAGAGAGTGAAAATATTTCTCCCCGAAGTCCTCAAATTTTACAGACTGTTTGGTCCAGGGGAAGGCGCGAACTTGCCTTTACCATACAAACGTCTGTAAAATCCGTTAGTTTTCAGCAAATCGCTTTCAAACTTAGCAACTTTTCTTATATTTTAAGGCGATCGTACTTTCAGCCGTGTCGACGGATTTTCGCTATTAATACTGGCCTTATTCAAAAGTTGAAAACACCATATGGAAGAGTAATCTTATAGTATATAAGAAAATGCGCGGCCATGTTGAATTTGTGTCGGATTTTAGGTCATCTGCGAGAATTTAAGCTCGGTGTATCACAAAAGGAAAGCAACTAGATATATTCAATCTAAGCCGGCTGAGATATTATATATAACAGACTTCCACCTTTTCATTTAATTTTCAGCTATATCCTAGGTTATATAAAAATAATTACATGATAGAACTTTGATAAAATTCGCGAATGACATCAGTTTAATTTCAGTAAAAGCTGTATTCATTTTTTGGTTACGAACGATGCACTGACGATGTAGCAGAACTCTGGGAACAAATTTATAGAAAATCAAAGAGAACTTGCATTGGGTGCATCGATTACCTAGCAACCTAATATTTCCGTAAGCGAATGAAATTGTTTAACAGAAGTTTAAAAAGTAGGCTTGCCTATTTCGTGAGCATGTTTCGACGATTGTGAGAAACTTAATCAAACAAAGAAATTCTGTGATTCAGTCACTAGCAGTTGAGTGTTGGTATGTACGAAGCTCTTTTCTTTTGATCTCGCGTTACTGAAATTATGTTTTTTGATTCACTGTTTTAGTATATTATTTTACAGTTTCTTCTCGTTTCTTTCATGAAGACAGGTTATTGTTAAGGAATGAAACACAGCAAACAAGGTAAATCATATATTTGCCACAGGTGCTCTTATCCGGCCTTCATTCCATAGAGTAATGAGTGTTGTTTCCCAAACATATCAGTTCCAAGTACACGATTCAGGGTTGGAATAAGTCGCTCTTCAATACGCAGAGCCATTTAAGGTACAATGTTAAAGAAGCACTAGCAATCATTCACGGTAAAAAAAAGGAAGGATTTTTAGTGTCCAATGATTAGTATAAAACTTGATTTATGTTTAGCTTCTTTATCAAACAATTCTGAAAATAGTTCAAAATAGCTTATGAAAAAATATCTCTTATTTGGATATAATGTTGCGTTTACCTCCGCAAAGAGAAAGTTTCGAATTTTGGTGTGGGTAATTCTGTGCTTTATTCTGGATAGAGAAATGAACGTCGGAAGAAAATTGCAGTTCGCTTGGGTTTTCGATAGTATAGTTTAGAAAATCCTAACTCAAACAACGACAGCGTTTCGATTATGCTAAGACTCGCTCTTGCAAACTGTCCACAGTTTAATTTATTTCCCACTGCACAAAAAAGGTAATGAGCTGAAGGCCATCCTCGTAAAGCTACAAGATCGACTCAAATTTCCAGCGGTTTAAGGACAAAATTTGGCTATACTAAGGAATAGATTCTAACTGAACGTAATAAAAATTATAATAAATACAATACATGATGTTGTGGCTGGTAGATTGTCGACCATGGAACAAAAGCATGATCTGCACGGGAACTCAGTACTGAAATCACAATACACGAATTTTCTCATGTTGAGCCAAAAGAACCAATCAAAATGCTCGACGTCTTTTACGCGTGAAATGTACTGATTGGGGCATTCTTTCGTTGAAACTTGTTTTAACAACGTCAAAAGTTAAGTAATTATTGCGAGAGAGATAAATTAATCTGTCGCGATAATCATTGCTATCATTTGGCTTTGGCAATCGTGAAACGAAGGTAAGTTAATACTAAAAGGCACTTTAAATTCACGTTAAAAGAACAAAAATTTGAAATGAAAAAATCCATAGCTTTCAAGCCGTTCATTTTTCCAAGGCATCTTTTAAAGATGAGATATAGTGTAAATCTTACCTGTTATTTTATTGTTTTAACTAATCGAATTTTTTTATTATGTCATGATAAAATATTTAGTGGACAATCAAGTTGGAGGATCTTAATGATGCGATCACAAGTTAAAATGCCCATCATGTTGTTTGTTTTATCGCTCATGGCGGCTTTCTGCTCTGCTAAGGACCACAAACCACCAGACACCAAGGTAACTGCATTTATACTTATGGCCACTACACATGTTTTTTGTTCCAGTTGATAAGGTTACTTTACGGATAAAACTAGGAAGTTACGTATCGTATGTGAATGCTACTATATCAGTCTTCAGCTTTAAAGGGAAATGTTCCGAATTCAGAAATGATGTTAGGCAGTATGATTAGTATGATTATTTGCAAAAAAAAATCGATCGGTATTTTAAGAAGAGAAAAATCATTTTCAGTTTTAAAATAATCAAAAGTGACGTATCAAAGAAACCCAAATTAAACCTTGCAAATTTAGGGAAAATTAGTATTTACTTCCTCTCCTGGATTGAAACTCTAGATGACAGATTCTCTCGATCTTTAGCAGCCTGTTCCATCTTGCAATGGCGGACAAACCGGGATGTGGACATACATGACATGTGTCCCAGGAGCCCCTAGGGCACCAGGTCGTGATGGAACCAAAGGAGACCCGGGCAGCCCGGGGAAAAATGGGACCCAGGGACCACGGGGTGCTGACGGAAAGAAAGGATCAAAGGGAGAGCCTGGGATCCAGGGTTCTCCCGGCCAAAAAGGGGAGCGAGGGGACAGAGGCGACAGCGGAACGCCGCGGCTGGCTTCACACATGAACTGGAAGGAGTGTGCTTGGAAAAAGAGAGACGAGAACAATACAGGACTGATATATGTAAGTGAGCAAGTCACTTAATTGTTACCAGATAACCAGAGTCAAAAAGTACTTTATTAGTTCAAACCAAATAATTTTCATACTGTGAAAATAACAAAACAAATAATTGTCATACTGTACAGAAGCTATTTTGATTCTTTATATCTCGTTTAGAACTGTGACTTTGTGAAGAAATACCCAGACACTTCACTCCATGTCTACTTTGCCGGTGATCTCAGGATTGCCTCATGTGTCACATGCTGCAGTCGCTGGTATTTCACCTTTAATGGAACGGAGTGCAGCTCTCCTGGAACTACTGTGACGGTGCATTCTACATAGGAAGAGGAAGAAACCACAATCTTCACCGTCACCGCCACATTGAGGGTCACTGCAACAACATTCAGAAAGGAAAGGTGCAAGTGGGATTTTGGGTTGGAAAGTGCGTCACAGGCCATAAGCTTACTGACGCCGACACTGGTTGGCATTCAATGACTCGAATCTTCATTGAAGAAGTACCAAAAGCTCAGCAGTAAGCTCGAGTCATGTGATTATCTGGACTTTGAAAATTACTATTAAATCTGTATTAGCATTGTAAAGAATAAAGAAGTCCAGAAGCATTGAAACTTAAATGTTTTTAACTATTTGTTAGATTCGCCAAAGAACTAATGAGNCTGGCTTCACACATGAACTGGAAGGAGTGTGCTTGGAAAAAGAGAGACGAGAACAATACAGGACTGATATATGTAAGTGAGCAAGTCACTTAATTGTTACCAGATAACCAGAGTCAAAAAGTACTTTATTAGTTCAAACCAAATAATTTTCATACTGTGAAAATAACAAAACAAATAATTGTCATACTGTACAGAAGCTATTTTGATTCTTTATATCTCGTTTAGAACTGTGACTTTGTGAAGAAATACCCAGACACTTCACTCCATGTCTACTTTGCCGGTGATCTCAGGATTGCCTCATGTGTCACATGCTGCAGTCGCTGGTATTTCACCTTTAATGGAACGGAGTGCAGCTCTCCTGGAACTACTGTGACGGTGCATTCTACATAGGAAGAGGAAGAAACCACAATCTTCACCGTCACCGCCACATTGAGGGTCACTGCAACAACATTCAGAAAGGAAAGGTGCAAGTGGGATTTTGGGTTGGAAAGTGCGTCACAGGCCATAAGCTTACTGACGCCGACACTGGTTGGCATTCAATGACTCGAATCTTCATTGAAGAAGTACCAAAAGCTCAGCAGTAAGCTCGAGTCATGTGATTATCTGGACTTTGAAAATTACTATTAAATCTGTATTAGCATTGTAAAGAATAAAGAAGTCCAGAAGCATTGAAACTTAAATGTTTTTAACTATTTGTTAGATTCGCCAAAGAACTAATGAGAAACAATCATACTTCATCATCATCATCAGTAGTTTTGTCGCGCTAGTAGGCGCACAAGCCCTTCACGCTGTCTGACCAAAACTTTCTGTCTCGTGCCACCACTTTGGCTCTTTTCCACAGCTTTCACCCGCTTTGGTTCTTTCAATGACATGCTTACCTCGCATTTTTCCCTTTGGCCTCCCAAAGAGCAATTCCTTCCTTTTTTCAGTTTATAGAAACGATGTTACTAGTGGTGTGGCCAAAGTACTCAGGGACCTCAAGGAAGTACTCGGCGAACCCGAGTCACGCTCTACAAACCTTGCCGATAAGTTAACCCATGTCGGTCGTCGTGGAAATAACTATAGTCCCCGTGGG